GACTACATTATGTTTATGTTGTTTACGACATGTGGCGATCTCCGCAAATATGTGACCGGATCTCTGAAAGCGTAGGCGTGGTCCGAGTGGTTTCCAACATTTTTTCCGAAAATGCTACACTGACTGCGGTATCTTGGAATTCTAAACTACGTTTGCACTACGTAATAACTCATATATTATAACAGTTACAATACAATATAAAAGATTTAAATTTAATTTTCGTTTATAAAAAATAGAATGCTAATATCATTTTTTTAATTAAAATTTTATGATACAATTGTACAAAGAATATCAATGATTTGACAAAATAAATTGAGAGATATATTTCTTCTATAGATTTAATTTTTCAATAATTTAAAATATTTTTATAGTTAAAGTAAAAATAGTAAAATTTTAATGAATGCATCAATTATAAAAAATTGTCCAATTATTATAGAATTATTATAGAATATTAAGATTGCCTTTAATTAACTGAGATTTGTGAAAGATAATATGATGATTTATTTCAAACTAAGATACGTATGTTTATCGATTTTTAGAATTTTACATTCATTAATAAATTTTTGAATCAATTTTAAGTTTTCAAACAAATGAAAAAATTAATACTTAAACAATTCATTTATCTTATATCTTCGTTTTTTAAATCCTATATATCCTATATATATATATGATTTTTTCCAACTTTTTATAAATTTTGGAAGTTTACCTTGTACTTCAAAATTAAATATTTAATTTTTTTATACATTTTTTATTTTTTACTTTCAACACTCTTTATTATTCAAAAATCAAAATATGAATTTTTAATATTACATATTAATTCCAAAATTCGAGATATTAATCCTCAAAGCCATATATTTTTTTCATATATCGTTTTTACTTCAACGATTATCACATCTTTATCTTTATTTTATTTTTTTTTTCTTCATTTATCTTTTCTCTTTATATTTCTAATTTTTCAGGTAGATAGATATCTATTCCCTTGATTATCTATACTTTGCCAAGCGAAACTCGCCTACGAAAGAATCTTGTTACTTCCTACATGTGCGTGCTTGGCAATTCTCGGTAGCTAAAGAACAAACAGACGATCGAGACTCGATATCTTCGCGCCTTAGAATCATCGCCTACGCGTAGTTACACGCTAACTTCGAATGTTGACCAATAACGAAAAATTTTAAAAGATATCATGAATATCACTTTGAATATAGAAATTCTAAGAGACATGTTCCATTTTTCAAAACTATTTTTTGTTGATGAATTATATCAAGTAAGAAATTGAAAGAAGAAATAATTTGTGAAGTAAGCAATTGGTTGGAAGTTAGATAGGAATAAACAACAAATTTTTAACTCGGGAAGGAATACTATTAAATGTAGCATTTAAAAAAGATAATAGAACTATCAATTTCTAACGAACTTTTCCATAAATAACACACACATAACTATGCTGCGCCATCTATCTCCAAATTTAAAAATAGATTAGATAAGAAATATCATCCAAGAATCTAAGATAAAATTAAAATTTCTACAATTAACTTAAAATCTTACAAAGATATTGCGTGTCGAATATGTTAGAAGAATTATAAAAAACAATAATTTCTTATATATTTGTGCTATCCAAAATTATTAATTTATCTCCAATCCATAAATAACTAAATTATTTTTATCTATCTTCAAACTAGAAAACAAGATCAATGAGAAAAACTTAACTTGAATACTTAAGATAAGATCGATTAATTATCAAAGGCAAAAATTTTCGTTGAAATCACGAAAACAAGAAGAACCATTTACTTATTTTCATATACTTCATCTTATCGAGAACAATCAATCTCTCGCCAACCTTTCCATAAATAACTACACAACGCCACCTAGCTTCCAAACTTAAAAAACAGATCAAAAAGATGCGCATACCATCCAGTGGTATTTGAAATTCAAGAATCCATTTCTCCACACTCCTTTCCCTCGTGTTTTCGTTGACACTGACAAATAATTCCTATTGCTCCTCGCCATTATCCCCCCGAACCAGAATGCTCGCGATACGAGGCGCAAAGGACAATCGTGTTCGTTCGATCATTTGGCTGGCTATGTCCGGGAGTAAACGCGTCCTTGGCGATTTCATTTGCAACAAAGGGAGGATTCATGAGGAAAAAAGGCAACGGCAGCCGAACAATTTCGACGAGGAATATCGTACGATCAAGGTCGGTCGAATTGTTGCCGCGAAAGGCATCGAAGAAATGCAATCACGTGTTCCATTGTGCATGGGGCCCCAAGAAAGGAAAACTCTTTCGAATTTACGTCCCTCATCTAGCATTTAAAAAGACTTAAAAAGAAACGAAAGAGAGGTTAAGGTTCGACGATGTTGACGATTCTCATCAATGATTTCTATTGGAAATGAATGTGATTGTGTGAGAGAAAATTAAACATAGAACGATTAAAGATTTGCAGCAAGAGAGAAAAAGATTTTTGAAAAGAATTTTTTAGTTGTTTATATAATTTATGTGTAAAGTAAAAAGAATACATAATACAAGTTAGAGAGGGCGATAAAAAATAAATGATTACTAAAATTAAAATGCAATCTATAATTACAATTAGATATTTTTGTGTCCTATTATTCGTCTGATCTTCGAAGAAATTTTCTTTTTTGCGAATTTATTGGGTTCTTTCTTCGAGAGAAAAAAATCTTGTAAATTTTTCTTAATCAAGTTTGATGTACTTTTTTGCTTCAGCGACTATTTTATGGAGATTGAGATTCTGGAACGAATAAATATGAAATGTGATTCGAACATGTAACGTTTATTTATAGAAAAATATTTCATTTTTATAAACGAAATTTTTTTTTTTGGAAAATTCTTACTTATGAAAAAGGAGAATTTTTATCAATCACAATTTTTACGTTTGTTCTGAAATTTGAACATCTGCGATATACATGTCATATGATGATACGAATTAATCAATTTCAAATCAAAAAATTATTGAAATTTTCTTGTAAAAATTCATTTAAAATCAGCTCGGATGAACTTTTCCTTTAAAACCTAGAAGAATCGATATTTCCAGTACTCCATGAACTATTAGTGGTTCACGATGGTCAGCAGAAATAAAACTTTCATCGAGCAAGCAAAAATACTGCGTTCCATAGCCCTGGAATAACATAAATCTGTAAAAAGATAAAAGTACCAAGGAATTCAGCATAAATTTTACTTACTGTTCTCTTTTCCTCTCTTTCTTACCATGGTTTTAAGGGCCACCTGTAAATATATCGTAGGATTACACTATCTTATCCCCACAAAAATAATAAAAGTCACATTTTCCATTTTAACTTATCGAAAACCACATCGAAAGAAATTTGTAATAAACGAACACAAAAAGAAGAAATGAAAATTACAAATTGTAAAAAAATAAAAAAATGAATTTTCCACTCCACATTCAAAAAGCGAATATCCAACGAATGAAAAATATAATATTCGTACGAGAAATAATAAAAAATCCAGAAATAAAGAGAGATAAATAAACAAATTCTTCCATAGGACAACAAGTTTCCTATAATAATATAATTTTTTCACAGCGTGTCGTCGATCGATCCTCGTCGAATTCCATCCAATTTCCATTCCAATTGTCAACAAACGGCCGTAGCGTTTGTCTCGATATCCCATTACAGAAAATCGCGGATCTAATTCCTGGGGTAAAGCGGCGAGAAAAACGAGAGACGAGCAAATAAAACCTGAAGAAGAAGAAGAAGAAGAAGAAGAAGAGGGCGTGGCGAGCGATGCCGGATCCCGGATCGAGGGATCTCGTGTCTCCAAGTATTCGGTGAACGGATCCGCCTGTCCTTCGACGATTCCTCTGGTTCCTGGTTCGAAGACACCGCCGCCGGCTCGCTCGTCCCCTCCGCCATGTATATAAGTCAAAACGAGATCGGAAGCAAGGTGCACAGGCCGAACAGTCCTTCGTCGAGCGAGGAGGTTCCACTGGAATAGAGCAAACTATCTCACGATGCAGTCGCTGGTGAGTGATCTTTCTAAATCTATATCTATTATTATGGACAGGAACACAGGATTTTCTGAATGTGTATACGTACGTTGACGAATATTTCTACAATTATTTCAAAGAAAACATGCATTTATTATTTTTAGATAGTTGGTTATTAGTTCACTGTGTGTTGAGAATAGGGTGAATAAAAATTGATTTTTTGGATCGGGTTGTGGGTAATTAGAAGAATGGATAATTTGATTTTTATTCTTTTGAGAGGAAAGGAATTCTGTGATAATATATTTTAACGAAAAGTCATCCAATAATATTTTTTCTATTCAAAAAAGTATCTTCCAAATCTTTTTGATAAAACTATATATTACTATATTTCATTCTCTTATTTACAAAGAAATTCATTCACTTTAATTTTTTGAAATCACGATCCTTTTCGAATCAAATTAAATTCGAGAACAGCAGTAGAATCTTAAAAAAATTATTCTTCCACGCGTTTCACGTTCTTGAAAATCAAATACGTGACTGTCACAATTCAAAATCAATGCTGCCAGTCTTGGAAGATTCCAAGAGCAGTATTTTCGTTTTCATGATTTGCTCGCGTCTCTAGCCATCAACGTGGTCACTCGTTCGTTTCTTATTGGATCGTAAAAAGGATCCCTAGCTTCATGCAAGTATAAACTCAGTCCTTCCGACGCGACGAGAATACCTTCTTGTTCGTAAAATTCGACCATCCGTCGAATCGTCAACCTTGAAAGGATTCCAGAGTCACGAGACGGTTTCATCGACGATCGTCCTGGGAAAAATTTGTTTGGAAATCCTTTCGTTCTTTTAAATTGTCAGAATTTTGTACAAAATTCAAATTTTGTTATTTATAAACAAAAATTTTTGCGAAAAATTCCTCTTTGAAATTGTCAAATAATTCTCAAAAAATAAGAATCTGTTTAATCTGTTTAATCTATCTGTTTAATTAAAAAATCTTATTCATTAATTATTCGAAACATTCAGAAAAGAAAAATTGAAATTTCCATTGTTTTCTTTTCGCTATCCTTATCCAAATTAATATGAAAAATTTTCCTCGCTAACTTTTAATTTCATTTAATTAGTGCCAAATAATCGAGTTAATTTTAAAAGCTTATCGATTGGGATAAGGATGAACCAAACCATTTTTAAATAGTTCCATGAAATAGAAAATAATCGAAAAAATAAATATTTTTTCTTCTCTTCCAGATACCATTGATTCTTGCCCTCAGCCTGGCCTCGGCCTCGCAGTTGAATTTACTCCCATACGCGTATCTGTCCAGCCCGATCCCAATATACAACCAATACCAGAACACCGTGACCGGGGAGCACGCGTACAGTTACGCCGGTGGCCCATCCGCCAAAGAGGAAGTGAAAGACGCGAGCGGCGTTCTCCGTGGCTCGTACAGCTACGTGGACGCGAATGGTGTTCTCCAGTCAGCCTTCTACGTCGCTGACGACAACGGTTTCCGCGTGGCCGCGACCAACATCCCCACGGACGAAAATCAGAACGATTTGGAAACGACGGCCCATATCATTCTGGCGAGAAGCGCGGTGGCCGAGAGAAGTTCCACGCCCAGCCGCAGGAGGCGCAGCCTGCAAGACTCTAATCCGACTCTGCCCGAGAAAAACGAGCAGAAAGAACAATCTTTGGACGGTGTCCAGAACGACACGAACAGACAAACTGCACCCTCTCAATCTCCTTCCACCTCCTCCTCGTTGCTGTTGCAACCTCTGCTCAACAACAACAACAACATCCCTCTCGCGACCTCGCACCAGAGTCAAGTTCAAGTGCACAGCAACGCTCGGTTGGAGGCGAAACCGGTCGACCTGCACCCGATCTTGCCTGTGCAGACCATATTGGGAGGGTTGCCCGTGCTCGCTCGCACGCCCACCTACCACGAGAACCGCATAGAATTGCACAAGCAGTTGGGTATCGAGGGATCAAGGCCCAAAGACGCGGTCAAGATAAAGCCTGAACCGTTGACCGTGGTCCGGTCGGTATTTCCGCTCGTCTCTACCGTCCTAGAGAGCGTCCCTGTTTTACCAACAATCGTTAAAGAAACCGTCTCCGTCCTTCCGGCTCAGCTAACCTCTATGACGACCACTTCTGTCTCGAGTCACGGTGTCAGCCAGATTCATGGATCGTCGAACGTTGTTGCCAAGGAGGGTATTGCTGTTGCTCCTACGGAGAGGAAGGAGATAGCACACGTTCCAGTCGTCAAAGGAGAGGCGTCGGTTACCAGTTATGGGGTCAGTCAAATCCATGGCGGAGAAATTAATCCGATCGGACTGCTGGTCAAGACTGCGCCCGCTGTTGCCGAGATACATCCGGCTATCCATGTTCCGGTCTCTCTTTAGGTTGGATGGATTCGATCGAGATCAAGGTGGGATCGTGTTGAGGATTTTGGAAAATTTTTTGGAAAATAGGAATTACGAGTTATGAGGTTTATGGGACGAGGAGAATTTTTGGGGATATCCTCGACCTCTGA